TGATCAGCGCTGGCACTGGGCAGGGCTGGTGTCAGGCTCCGGGCAAGGCAGAGTTTGTCAGGAGAGGAAAGAAAACAAGCAGCGTGCAAGCAGAGACACAGCCAGCACCAAACCAGGTGCCTTGCTCCTGCTCTGTGCTTGGCTGGGAGGTTTGTGGCTCCATCTCGGAGCTGTGTCAGCAGCAATTTGGGGTTTTCCTAGCTGTCTCGGTAGGAGATAATTCAATTCCCTACAAACTCCAGGTGCTTGACACCTTTAAGCCTATTCCTTGTGGCTTTCCCATGTAAACAGGGCTTAAAGCCAGAAGGCAGAGCACGTGCAGTGCTTTGCACAGCTCTCAGCTCCACGGCTCTGGGAAAGGGGCACTTTGGGTGGGAGATGGGCAGGGATGGGGACAGGGCTGGATCCCTGGGGCCGCATCCTGCCTGGATCGCTCCCAGCTCTGCTGGAGGCTTTTCTGCGGAAAGGTGACCCCACCTGGGAGGTGCGACGGCAGGGCTGGGACCAGGCAGGAGAAACAAAGGCCCTTTTGTTGTGCTTCCCCTGCCCTGCCGAGCTTCCTGAACCCGTGCCAGCGAGACTCCAGCAGTGCTGTCACGAGGTTTGGGGGAGGCTGGCTGCGTGGAGCTCCCCAGCCCCAAAATGCAGCATTGGGGCGCGCAGATAGGGCCAGCAGGATGGGAACTTCTCGAGGAGCATCCACGGGAGGTCCCAGTGGGGAGGGATGCGTGGCCGTGGGGTGAGTGGGTGATGATGCATTGCCTCCCGGGACGGGGTGAGCGTCAGAGCGTGGGTGGGCAGCGGGTGGGCGTGATGCCAGCGTGGAGCTGCCTCTGTCACCGGCGTGCCGACCTTGCCCAGTGCACAGCCGCCTCCCCTCCCAGCTGAGGGCACACTCACATGCCTGGGGGCATCATGAGTGGGTGCCTGGGCTGCTGGCACTGCTCCAGAAGGGGGGCATTGAGCCCTTCCAGGTCTAGGATGCTCCTCGGCGTAGGGATGCTTAGATCTACCTGGGATGCAAAAACCCCATCCTGTGGGATTTTGAAGCAGCTCTGCCCTCCAGAATGAAATCAACTTAAAATCCATCCCTATCCGGGGGGCTGGAGAGGATCCGTCAGTCCTTTGGACAGATCTCTTTCTGTGTATTTGGAAAACCCCCGGGATGGTGAGAGTTAATCCTTCATCCCAGCTGCTGCCCTCCCGCGCCCAGCAGGAGCAGGGCTTGTGCTAGGCCAGGGGCTGCTGGCAGGGTAGGAAAAAAAACATTCAGACCTTTTACCTAATTTCCAAAGGTTTGGACCTGAAGGCCCTGGCAACACAAGCTGCCGGTGGGGGGATCGGTGATGCGGGGCTGTCCTCCCCACCAGCCCCAGCCCGCATCCTTGCTGGTGGGATGCCCACCGTGACCTCTGCAGCAAGGTGTGCAGGGGTCTAGGGTGCACTGGGAGTGTTTAAAGCACAAAAATCACCTCTATTGTCTTATATTTATTTATTTATTTTTTGATTTGACCTAGGAAGGTCTGCTCTCATGCACACCTGATTATAAATTAGCAGGGTGGTAAAAACCCGGCGAGTTGCTTTATATATTTACACAACCACACAGAAGTGCGAGGGGGTGGCACTGTGCAGCCGGAGAACAGGGTTTGACCCTGAGGAGCTGGAGTCCCAAACCACGTTCCTTTGGCCAAGGCCAAAGAAGCCTCTGCAGAAATCTCAGGGATTCTTGGGAAACTGAAGCAAAGATGTGACTTGGGGCAATGAAGACCGAGTTTGCAAAATGTTCTTGTTATGCCCGTAGCTTGCTAATTTTCCTTTTGGGTTTATTAGTGGATCTATTAGTGGATCTATTAGTGGATCTATTAGTGTTGCTTTGTTATCAAGTCTGTCTCCAAGCCCAGCCCACCCTGGAGGAACATCACGAAGTCTCTGCGGGGCAAAGACCCCATGAAACTCAGCTCTGCTCCCCATGGGTGTTCTGAGTGACCAGAACCTTTTCTCAGGGAAAAGGTGGGCATTTTAGGAATTTTAGTTGATTTTAAATAGAGTTCAACTCCATTCCAAGTCTCCTCAGGATCAATCAACACTTCGGTAGAGCATCTAAGCTTGATTATGAGACGGTCTTAAGATAATGCCATGCATTAGGCAGCACCTTCCTTACATCCCTGTTTCTTGACGGGCCACAAATTCAGCAGAGCATAATTTTAAGCGACTCAGGGAATCCTTACAGCGGCACGGGGTTCCCCTCGTGGTGAGAAGTTTCTCACAGCAGGGCTGGCTGCCTTGCTGCCGTTCCCAGCCCGTGCATGGCCGCGTGCGCTCGCAGATTCCTTCCTAGAGAGACGCGCATAGTTGAGTGCGTTGAGTATTTGTCTTTGAGTCAGAATTGCTATTTAAGAAAAAGAGGGTTGATAGACTGTGGACAAAGCTACTTTTGTGTTTCCTAGAGACTTGCCGGGCTCAAAAGCTTTCTGTGCAGCATCCTTGCAGCACTTGAATCCTGCTGCAGAGCAGTGAAACCCATCTCATCCCTAGGGAGCTGCGTGCGGAGAGGATCAGCTGCCCTCCAGTTTTAATAGGACACAGGACTGGGCATTAGGCTGTTTGCACTATCTTTGTATTCTAATTTGGGGTATAAAGGAATTGGCTACAACTGTCTGGCCACGTACATCGGGTCTGAATGTGATGGGTCTGGGTTTCTGGGGAAGGCAGTCGCAGGGGAAATGATGTATGAAATGATCCCGTGCCATGTTGTGTAGGAGCAGTTCCACACCATTCCCTGTCCCTCCCTCCTCATTTATAGGGTAATTCGCATGGATTTATGAAAAAAAAAAAAAACACACCAAAAACGTGAAAGCTGGAGCATCTCTCTTTGGCCAGGGGCAGGAGCCTGCAGGCACGGGGCAGACAGGAGCTGGATTGCTCGCTTGCACTCAACTTTCTGTTCGTAAGGAGCCCCTGGAATACGAATAGGATCCTTATCAAACCAGGTTCATCCAAAGGACAAGGCCATATTAATTGTTTGCAGAACTCCAGCAAATAAACAGCATTCCTCCTGGTTTCATATTTGGCTGCTTTGGCTCCTGTGGCCATCTCAAGCAGGGCCCACGGAGCTGGGCAGCCTGGGGTCAGCGTTGGACCGTGCCCAGCATCCCAGGTGCGAGGTCGAGCACTATGGAAACATGTTTATGGGGGAAAAAAAGAGCATCCATCTTATCTGGGGGTCTGAATGCAGAGGGGAGAGACGCTGTGAGCAAGGCTTTTTCGTGGAAGCCATTTACCATGCTCTGGGAGATTGGGAGACAACAAGGGTGATAAAATGCAAGCGTGGGGCTTGGCTCCCGTCCCAGGGCAAGGATGGGCAGCCTGAAGGACTGGAGTGCGTGAGGCCAAAACCATCAAGACTTTTGAGAAAAAAACAGGCAATACAAGGCATTGCCAGTGCCTCCATCATCCCCTGACATCTCCACCGCGTCTGGCGTGTCCTCTGTGGCCAGGCTGGCCATCTGCCTAAAGTAGAGAGAAGAATTTGCGTCTTCCTTTGTCTTGAGGTGGCCAAAAATCCCCAGATTATCCCCAAATGGGCTGCCCTGTGCAGCCATCGTGGCTCTCCCCAGCACGTCTGGGTGGTTTCTGGTGGGCAGCCAGGGGTCTGCCCGGGAAGGAAGGGCACTCGCTGGGCACAGCCCGTGGCAAAAGCTCCTGTCGGTGCCGGCCGCGCTGCCGGCTGACCAGAAGGGCTCACGTCTGCAAAATTCCCATCTAGGGCTAAATTTAAACACCCAAATGTAGAGTTCGGAAGCCCAGAAAGCAGCCCAGCCCTCATCTGCAGTGGCTGCCTCTCACCAGCCCTCCTTTTGGCAAGGAAGGAGCTTTTGTTTTGCTGGGACTCTGGGCCAGCTCGGAATAATACGGCCAGCAAAACCCTCCCTGCCCTGGCACAATGAGGCAGTGCACTCGGTCCCCAGCTGGACAGGAAGGGAGCACCCCAAAAAGCACCCCGAAACAGGACAGAGGGGTCTGGAAGCTTTCTCCTGGTGCTCAGCCAAAGCTCTGCACCACGATGTAGGAGCTGGGATGAACTGGGATGGAGCGGTCCCATCTCCACGGTGCTGGGAATTGAGGAGAGGACTATTAAGGTCTATTAGGGTCTTGCCCAAAGTAGGTGTATGACCTGGTCTGGCCGTGCTAACCCCATGGAAAATGCCTACGGCGGAGCAATGTCCCCCCGCTGGTATTTTTAAGCAGTTCGCTGAGGACAGGGAGATAGTGGGTGCTGACAGGAGCCTGGCTGCTAGCGGGGCTCGTGCCTGGGCTTACACATGGGTTTGTGCTTAAGGGGAGGTGGGAGGGAGGGTGGGTGACGGAAAGGGGGCAGGAGCACGCAGATGTGACGGGGACACCAAGCTAAAAGTGAGTGTCCAGAGAACTCACACGCATATATCCACACGGGTGTCCTCCCAAATCACCGCTGTGCCAGGGCAGGCACGCTGCGGATCAGCCCACTGCAAGTCTTTGAGAGGTTTGGGGTCCTGCACGGGTAAATACAACCAAGGGAAACCTTGGGGTCAGCTCAGGATAGTTAACAGCCTGTCTTAAAAAGAGATCTCGAACAAAAATAGGGAGATGCAGACACACAAAGCCTTCGTGTGCCCTGCAAAGGGGTGATGCTGCGGGCAGGACCCTGCTGCTTGCTGCTGGCTGCGTGATGCCCGTCCAGAAGAGCACGGGGTAACGCTGAGGATCCCTCTGAGCAGCCCCTGTAAGCACCCAGCGTCCTCCCCCCGTGACCACAGAGGGGCTTGAGGGGCTGGAGAGGGGCCTCATCCTGTGCCAGCACGAAGGCTGGAGGAGGTGGGTCTCGAAATGGAAGCACAAAGCGCACAAAGGCTGGGACAGCCGTTCCCAGGACCTCTCCTCCCTCCAGCAGCACTGCTCGGAGGCTAACAGGGATGAAAGAGAGGGGAAAAATGAAAGTTGCTGCTTTTTTTCAGGGCCTTTCCCAGGAGTGATGCCCACCAGCAGCCTTCCTGCAGTAGCACAGCCCTGGCACGGCAAGGGGACGCATTGCAGCATCCTCTGACCCCACAGAGCCCCAGGTCTGTCGGTGCCACTCGGGGCTCGCCCCTGACTCACATCCTTGATTCATCCCAGGGCAGGGCTCGGCCAGCAGCCTGGGCTGGGCTCTTCCAGCTCCCTCGCCTCGCTCCTGCCGGAGTCACCCTTTCTGCTTTGAATTAAGAGACGGGAAGGCAAGGCGGGGAAAAGAATCAGCAATAAAAAGAGATGGAGCCAGCCCTGTGCCGGAGCCCGGAGCGATAAGCATGCAGCAGGGAGGAGGAGGAGGAGGGATGGGGTTGGCCACGGTCACGTGCAGGGATCTGCTTTCAGCACGGATGGCGTGTTTGTGGGGCAGGGAGGGTGCGACATGGGCCCCGGCTTCCAGGAATCCTCCGAGCACAGGATATGCGGCGGGGAGCGAGTAAACATGATACAATAGCTGGCCTGTAACTCGATCGGCACCCTGCGCGAGCTGCTCCCTGCCCGGGGACCTTGGCGGCTCCTCGGGGTGTCAGGGTGCCGTGTTATTGGATGTGGGGTGCGGGGCGATGGGGGAGCCCCTTTTGGCACAGCAGTGGGCGAGCTTGGCTGCTTTGGCTGAGCAAAGTGGGGAGCACGAGGGGGAACCCCCAAAAATAAAACTGGGTGCACATGGAGCGCACAGGCTGGGCGGCACAGCCACGGGAGAGGATTTCAGAGAGCAGCTGTGGATTTCCAGCTATATTCTTCAGCTCACACTGGGGAAGGATGGGAGCAGGCCAATTTTTCAAGCCCTCGGCTTGATTTCTTTGCTGCAGGCGCGGCGGGCAGGGGCTGGCTGACCCTCTGCAGGAGCAGGGTGGGTTTCTGACCACCCGCCGCTTTATTTGTATTTTTAGAGCGCGCCGCAGGCACGAGGTCCCCGCAGCAAGTGAAATTCCAGCCTGCAGCTCCGTGTCCCCATCCCGCTCCTCCGACAGCCAGCAGCTGAGCCGGGGCTCAAGTGTCCTGGGGCACGGAGGTGGGGGCCACGCTCCGGGTGCCGAAACAGCGTCACCCCGTCCCGGGGAGGGGTGGGGACCTCGGGGACGTCAAGGAGAAGGCCAGAGCGTACTGTGCTCGCTGGAGGGACCGATGAGTCGGCAGCGTGGTGAGTCAAAAGCTGGGAAGGGCAGTGAGCGAGCAGAGGGAGATGCAAGGGGGTTAAAGCCGGCCAGCACATCTCCTGAAGGCGTCTCAGGGCTTGCTGATGCAATTCTTCTACGGCCTCTTGTCTCTCTGCTGAGAGCCACGTGGGCTGTGAGGTTTTTGGGCTGAGCACCGGCACTTTTTGCTGGCTGCAGCCCGAGTGGCAGGGTGCTCGTGGGCTGCAGGGAGGTTTTTGGGTGCCGGCATCACTTGGGTGTGATGCGGGAAGGGTGCGTGGCCGGCAGCGTGACACCACTGGCTGTGCACGGACCTTGTCACCAGCACCGAGGTGACACATCCAGCCAGGGCTGGGGCTGGACGGCGAGTGACTCAAGCAGGCAGCCGTCCCAGGGCTTGAATCACCACCGAAAGCAGCCCCTGCCTGGCTGCTGGGGCTCACAAAGCTGCCTGCTTCATCCGTGCATGGGTACATACAGCCGCTGCGCACCTACGGAGCTCGCTGTGGGCTTCTTGGAGAAGCCGGGCAGCTCTGGAGCACCCAAAGCTTCCCCAAAGGACCAGATCTGTACCACCTCCCTCTCGTGGAAGAGGGAGAAAACCCAATATGCTGCCAGCAGCAATGACAGGCATGTGGCACACACCGGGAGGTGTCAAAAGATGCTCACGTCAGCTTTGCCAGCAGCCCCGTGCCTCCTGCCCTGACCGTGTAGGGAAGAGCACCCGAGCGATTTGCCTTTTGGAGCCTTTTGTTTCGTGGGCCAGCTCTCACCTACGGCAAAACCGTCTGCAGGAGCAGCCAGGAGAGAGCTGTGCCCTTCCTCCCCGCTTCAAGTGACAGGTACCAGCATTTCCCACTGCTCCTGCACGGGAGAAGTGCCACGCTTATCTTTAGGGGCACTCATGCCAGAGGGAACATGAATATGAAACATCCATTCACTTGAGGGTTGGTTTGGGGAGGAAATTTAATTTTTTTAAGCATTTTTTTTCTTTAATACATCTCTTTTTGGCAACCAGCGCAGCATTTTCCACTTGCTCCACAGCGTGCCTGGTGGTAGCTTCCCAAAGATGCTTAAGGATGTGCATCCTTGCTCTGTGGTCCTCCTTGGCAATACCAGCACGAATCTGTGCTGGGGGTATAAATCTTGCCTCTCCTGGAGGTCTGGGGCTTCTCTGGGGCTGTCGTTCCCTCTCTGAGTGTTTCTGGGGAGAGGAAGCTGCGGCTAACCTCACCGCAAGCACAAATTAGCTGGGTTTTGTTGCTTTTTGGGTTGGTTTTTGTTTTGTGCTCGGCTCGAACAATAAAACATCTGTTCCCGAGCCTGGCAGCTGGAGCAGAATGAAATGACGTTAGCATCAATTATCCTCCGGGATGGGGAGGATGACAGGAGAATGGTGCAGATTTCCTTAACGCGGAATAACAAACGAGAACAGCTTGGCTAGGTGTTTAGTGCTCCCGGACAGCGTCCAAATAGCAGCCCTGCTCCAGCCCTCCTGCTGGGATGCCCCAAGTCGTGCACGGCGGCTCCCCGTGCCCGCTGGGCTCTTTGGTTGCCAAACGCGTGCCATAGGGAGATGCTTCTGCAGTGATCGAAGAACAACACCCGTTTTGGTGGAAGCCAAATGCAGAAGGGTTGCCCGTCAGCAGCAGGGACCTTTCTCAATGCACCGCCCCCCGAGCACCCCAAAATTTGGCTCTGCTACCACACCCAAGGCTCTGGCCGGGTCGGATGTGCACCCAGCAGTGCTGGGGTTTGCAGCGGGACGGGATGATGCAGGATCACGTTCCCTGGGCGCAGAAAGGGGCCATTAACGGGAGGCAAGGGGGGAGCGACTCGGCACAAAGGCTGGGATTTGTTGGCACCCGCGGGGAGCAGCTGCTGAGTGCCAGCCGGCGGCGATGCGCGGGCGCGTGATGCGGCCGCCTGACCCCACCATGGGGCTGGCAGAGGGCACCGAGCTGCCCTCGGAGGAAACCCAGGCACACTCAGATGGGCAGCAACCTGGTGGTTTTCTTCCCGAGGTAAGCTAGGCACGAGTGTTACCTCCTGCAGGACTTTCTGCCCAAGAGCTGGGTGCATGCAGTCACTGCCACGGGTGAGTTTTGTGCTCCAAGACCACACGGGTGCCACAAACACACAACGCACACACAAAATCCTTTTATTTCCCCATCCTGAATCAGAAAAAAAAATAATTTCCCTGCATCCTGGTAGCAAAGAGAAGAAATGCAAGTGTGGGAACACAGCAAAATGGTCACGGAGCAGCAGTGCTGAGCGAGCTGCCTCATACCTGCACAGCCAGATGCCTGAATAGCTTGACGCAGGCTTCAGGAAATAATTTGGGCTGCTGCAGTGCTGGAGCCACTAAAATAGCTTCCCTGCTCTCCGGGGAGCTGTGAATTTTTAGCCTGACAGCTCGCAGTGCCCCAAGGGGCGGGTACAGCTGGGCTTGCTTTGAAAACCCAGCGATGTCAAGCGCCCCTCGCATCTTGTGCGACGTCGGGGGGCTCAGGTGGTCCGGGGGTGCAGCTGGGCTGAGCTGAACCCCCCGAAAATTTGGGCACCGCTGATTTATGTGTTCTGTCTGAGGCACAGGACTCTGATCTCCTTCTGGGCTCTAGTATTAGGGGTACCAACAAGACACACCAGGACGAAATTACACTTGGTGTCACCTGGGCCGTTTAGCACCTCTCTTCTGCGGCTGGGAACTCGCACGCTGGCCTCTCCAAATTGAGGCAAACTGGGACAATCTCCCAAATCCTCACTCGGGAGAGACTGCAACGTTAGGAGCAGAGGCAAAGGAAGGTTTAGATTAAAAATAAATAAATCATTTTGTCCAAAACCAAGAGAATGCACCCCAGTCTGTCTGTCTTTTGCTGCTTTATGTGCTCTGCTCTAGCCCGTTTTCTCGAGCCTTCCAGAAGCCAGTGTCACCATGGTGTGCACCCTCCCTGGCTCTCCGGGGATCAGCCCCTGGTCTCGCCCTTTTTTCTTTTGACCCACTTTGCAGTGGCCGACTTTTCCCAACTTGCTGGGTAATCCTAAATCCTAGGAGGCCGACGCCTGAACATCCTTTCAGGACCTTAATCCCCACCTACGGTGCCCTGCTGGCCGGCGGCGCCGGCTGAGCCTCCCGTGCATGGCACAGGGTGCTCTGCAAAACGTGCCCCGAGGAGCATGGGTGCTGGCAACGGGGTTTGGGGGCAAGGAGCCGGCAGGGAAGGGCCGGGGTGTATGGCACGGCATAGGGATCACCACTTTGGGATGGGAGAGGCATGATGAGAGGATGAGAGCGAGCTGCTGGGGAGCACAGGGTGCATGCAGCGCGTCTGCCCTGGCTGCACGGGGGCTGCCTCCACCCCCAGCCCCGGCTCAGCATCGCAGCAATCCCACACTCGCTCCCCACCACCCCCTCGTTTCAACACCCCCCCTTCCACCCCTGGCTTGTTTGCACAGCTCAAAATGTTCTGGGCATTATCAGTGTTTGCACTTTTGCCTCTGTTTGTGCTGCTTGCATTTCGAAGGCAATAAAGTCCAGCTCTGTTTGCTTACGAGGAACCTGTATTTTTCCCCCCGCTGGGCTTTATTTTTCCCCCCAGCCCCGAGCACCCCACGGCTCGTGCCGAGCATCACCCCATGGCTCGGCTGTGACCCTCACGGGGGGGCTGAAGCCAGCAGCTCCCTGGGGACCAGCTCCGTGTGGCTCGTGGCCACCTGCCCTTGCGTGCCCCAAGCAAAGCTGCTTGGCCCCGGCTCAGCCCGGGGGCTTACGGAGGTGCCCGCTGACGGCAGCGGGCACAGAGGTCCCCCCGCCGGTGCCAGGAGGTGTCCCCCCCTCTGTGACAATGCCTCCGGGTGACACCTCCCTTGTGGTGACCCCAGCCTGCTGTCCTGTCCGGGGGTTAAACATTAACAGGGGCTGCGGCCAGGGCAAGGCCAGGGGAGTCGCCGGAGGGGATAAGGGGAGGGAGTTGTTTCGGGAGAAAGCAGTGCTCAGAAAGTGTCTCTGCTCTCTGGTGGTCCATGCGCCGGGCATCTCCCACCCGGCTGCTCCTCCATCCTCCTCCTCAGCTCCCAGCCTTCCTCCTCACCCGCTTCCTACAGCTCTTATGGTCGAGCAGGGGCTCGCTGAAGCTGCCCAGTGCGTTTCCCCATGGAGAGGGCACTTCTTGCATCTCCTGCCTTCATGTCTGGCCAGGAGAGAGCTGCTGGGGGTGCACCAAGGTGGGCTTCCACCAGCCCTGCTGCTCCCGCGCTGCTTGGTGAGGCTCCAGCATCCCTGCCAAGGGGCTGAGCCTGTTGCAAAACAGCAGCCAGAGCTCTGCCCCTGTTCCTGGAAGGGCAGCTCCTCTCGCAAGCGATCCCTCTGGTAACGTCAGGTGTGTTCTCTGGGGCACACGTGGAAAAGCCTGGCCGATGGCTCAGTACCAGGACAAGGCACAAACCGCGCAGCCTGAAGGCTTTGCGAGGGGCTCTGCTCCCGAAAGCAAGAAGGAAAAAGGTGAAACCCTCTGCTGACCTTGGCTGCAGATCCTGGCAGCAGCCAGCTCCCGAAATGCCTGCTGGCCGCGGCCAGCCCTGCCCTCTCCTGGACACGGCTCGCTGGGAAGCGGCCCGGATTTTGAGAAACTGCAGGATTAGCTGTCCGAGGGGGTCAGCTCAGCCCAGCCTGTTTGCGAAACCTCTGTGCCGATTTATCATGCGAGCTGTCTTCCTCGGAAAACAGGCTCACGGGGGCCGGGAAACGCGCGCTGCTCGCTGCCTCCTGACACCTCCTTGGCAGGCAAGCGCTGCCTGTAATTAATCCCCAGCTCTGGAAAGCTGCCTGCGACCTGCCCGCTCCCCCTGGCGAGGGCAGGGCTGGGCACAGGGGTGCAGCTCCTGCTCCATCCCGGCCCCCAGCACCTCTCCCCCTGCTCGCAGGTCTGGGCCAGCACTTTTTGGAGCCCTCCAAGCTCTGCTGTGCAAATTTCCTTAAAGACCTGGTGATGCCAACGTGCTGCGGGCATCCCAGCGTGGTGTAAGCCCAGGGGACGGATCCTACCCAAAACTGGGGAGCTTGGTTCTGGAGGTGCTCACCCTGCTCCCTGAGCCTGCAGGCAAGGAGCACAGAGCACTGTGAGCTGTGCTAATTGCTGCCTGTAATCCCCGGATTATGTTTTACTGCTCGCTATATCCCCCTTCCAGCTCTGTTCCCTACCCCAGGCCAAACCCAAGCACAGCAGGGCTTGGGATCCTCCCAGTTAAGCACTATTTTGTGTTTTCCACCGAGTTTTCCAGGCAGTTTAACACACGACACAAGCACCCAGCGGGGCGCAGCGTTCCCCTCCCAAGTCCCTGCTCCCATCCCAGGCACCTCAGACAAACATCCCACCCCAAAGCCTGAGATAGCTCCGCTCAGCAACCCCGTGCCTTTTTCTGGGATGGATATAATGAAAAAGCCCATTCTGGGGTCTTTTCCCCAGCTGCTGGGGTCCTTCCTGCCCCGTGAGCCTTGGGCAGACCTAACCAGGCACAGATGCAGCAGCGACGAAGGTGACTCCTCGGGAATGGCCATGCTTCATCCCCGGATCCGCGGCTGCTCATGCAATTATGGGGGCAAAACGAATGGAGGTTTTTGTTTCAGCAGACACGCTGCTTGCTGGGGGCCTTGCAGGAGATAAATCTCTGCCCTGCTAATTGTATTTCTCCCTCCCTGGCTTCAAATAAATGGCTTTAAGCTCTCCGAAGAGGTTATGGAGAGGGATGGAAAGGAACAAGGGAGAAAGGGGTGCCACGGGCTCTGCCAGCCCATGGAGAGAGGTGAACTGGGGGAGTCCCGAGGGTTTCCTGAGGTAGTTTATCATGAAAATCTTGATTTGCTGAGCTGGTGCTGTGGGGCACCAGGGGTTGCATTTTAGGGACTGCACAAGACAGCCTTGTGGGCTTTTAAAGGGCTCATGAGGGTGTCTTGCTCACAGCCCAAGAGTCCTTTTGAGCGTTGCTTTCCGGAGTGAAAAACCCTTGGGAAACTGCAGGTACAGGAAAGAAGAAAATATCCATGAAATTTCGTGTGAAAACCAAAACTAAAGATATTTTATTCTCTTCTTGCAGGAGGCACATGAGCATGTATCAGGTAACTCTGCTTAGCCTAGCCTGAGCACGCTGCAATGAAAAGCTGCACGTGGACCTGCTTGGAGTGGCGGTGAAAGGACATTTAGGAGTCTCCTTTTTTAATATTTTGTTTTCCCATCCCTGCAAACACTCAGCAACAGGGCGTTTGGTCCCTGAAGCTTTTCTCCAAGAAAAGTACACCGGGCATGTTTACAGAGTCTCACCAAAGTGCCCTCGGCACGAGGCCAAGGACGTGAGCCCCTTCGTGGTAGCTGCTGCTCGCTTGGTTTGGCCATGGTGCTCGGCGTGCGAAACGGTGCAAGCTTTGGAAAGCACTAAAAAAGAGAAATAACAACGCATGGGCTGGTAGCCTTCATACAGCCTTCAGCGGACGTGAGCTTTAGGTGCAGAAAGGCTCTCCAGCAAGGTACCCACCCCCTCTCCCTACACGTGCCAAAAATTATTGAAATTCTTCTCATCTAATAGCCAGATAGTGGGCTTGCGCTCGACCGTCTGAAGAGCAGATGCAGCTCTGGCAGGCATCCAGACGAACACTAAATGAGCATTTATATATGTCTTTTTATATATAACAGGGGATTTTTTTTCTGCTTCTTGCATCCGCGCCATTCCTCAGGGTACAACTCTCCGTTTGCTTTTGCTGTTTCAGCCGCAGAAAGGCCAGAGATGGGATCAGGAACAGAAGGAACCTGCTCCTGCTGCTGGGGGCTGTGGGGAAAATGAGAGCAGGGTGCGGTTATTGCTCCATCCCCGTGAGCTTTAATAATCCCTTCATCACTCGGGGTCCCCCCAAAGAAGCTTTGCAGGTGCCAGAGGTGCCTCGAGATAAAATCTTTGCTGCGAGAGGCGGATACAGCCACCTGCTGGGGTGTGAGCATCCTCCAGCGGATGCCTCCGGCTCCCTCCCCATGGCCATCCCACCAGGACAGGCTGTTTGACCACGCCGCCAATTTCCTCACCTCCTGGCAATTTATCTGCAGAAGCAAACTCCAGGCCCAGCCCCGCCGTCCGGCTTTTTATTCCTCTCGGTTTTCCAGCCAGCCGAGCCAGGGCCTGAGCAGCTCAATCAGTGCGGCCGAGGTCAGACCACAAATCAGGGCGTAGCCAGCCGGAGCCTCCCGACGCAGCTCCCAGCCTTGGGCTCCCGCGAGTGATTTATTTTCTGCCTGCTGCTTCCTTATTTTCAGCACCTCGTTATTCCCTCGGTCCCCGCCGTGCCCCGTGCAGTGGGGCTGGAGGATGCCCGGGCATCCCCAGGTGCTGGGCAGCAGGAGAGGAGCTCCACGTGCCTGGAGGACAGGGTTTGTGCCTCCACCGTGGCACAGCCTGATTCATTTTTGCCTCTGGGCAGGTTTCCTTTTGCAATGTCACCTCTTTGGGACAGGCACGGGATGTGTCTGGCCATGCACTGAATCCTAGCAGCCAGCCAGCTCACGGCGCAGCCGTGCTCCAAGCCCAGCTCCTCCAGAGACTTGCACAGGAGCACAGTTGATTTTTATCCATCCAAACCTGCAGCGTGGGTTCTCAGCTTCAGCTACGGAGATCCTGGAGCAGGTGCTAAATTTTTTAATGCCTTTCCACGTCTTTTTCCCCAGCTAATGAGGACCTTTGTGCGCGTGCCCTCTGGGCTCAGCAGAGGTGTCCTGGGGATGACACCAGTTTTGGTGAGAGGGGAGGGATGCACAGAGCTGCCTGTGGGCCCCTACCTGATGGGATATTGGGGGACAGGGGGTGCTGAGCTTGAAGAGGGGCTGGGGTGTGCGTGGGGCTCTGCACCTGCTTGTGCAAAGCTCGCCAGCAAGCCAGGGCTTGGGTTATTCCTTATCAACGGTGCCGTAGCAGAAAAGGGCTCCCATCTCCAAACAGGCTCCATCCCCAAAGGCGCCAGAGACGTAATAAGCTGCTTTAAAGGTTTCTTTTTTCCCATTTTCTAGGCCGGTGGGAGCGATGGCCGTGTGAACTGCCCCCTCTTCAGGCAGCAGGGCTGAAGGCCTGCTCCCCGCAGCGCTCCCCAAAGCAGCACAGCTCTCCAGCTGCCCTGCGCCATTTGGGGAGCCGGGCTCCCTCTCGGCTCTGCCCAAGGAGCCCTTGGTGATGCCACTGGATGCTCCTGCCCTGGAAAAAAAAAAAAAAAAAAAGCTGTAAGAGTCCCCTAACCTGGTCAAATAAAATCGTTGTGGTCCATCAGACGAGCTGGTGAGCGAGGAAGAGGATGGTCAGCTTCGCCCCCCCTGCCCAGGGGGGTTGTGTCGCCGATGTGAAACCATACGGATGGCACCAGGAGGGGGACAAAGGGGCTGCAAAGGCACGTTTCAAAGCCTCTTTATTTATTTGTATTTTTTTTTTCCTGCTGGAAACAGAGGGCTCGTAGCCCCAGGCAGAGCAGAGCAGCAGGGGAACCTCCAGCAGCAGCTGTTTTCCAGGCAGAACTGTCCGGCCTCCCTTGGCATGCAGGCACAGGGAGGGTGAGCCTGACCTCCTGAATTCGTCAGCTTTTGGGGGGCTTTGGGGCTTCCCTTTTGGGGGTGTGAGAGTGGAGACGTGAAAAGGAGACTTGGAGCAGAGGGCACCTGGTGCTGGATGGGGCCGGGGGCTTTGCCACACCTGTGTAGGTAACCACATGCACGGGGCAGAGCCACAGGGCACGGATAATGCTTGGTTGCAACACAAACCACATTTCCCTTTTTTTATTTCATATTTTACTACCGGAGGAAGCTTCATTTGGAAGGAATCATCCGAGCTCAGCTCCAGGCCGGCTTTGCAGCGTGCAGCAGGCGAGCGGCAGGGATGCGAGATGCAGGGATCAGAGGAAAAGCTCCCCCCGGGCTGAGGGGGCCGAGGAGCAACCCCCTGCATGCCAATCGCCGGAGTCATCCCCGTGGTCCTGGAAACCAGCGCCGGGTCCTGGAAACGCTGCTGGGAGAGAGGCTGCACCATAAATTTGAGATGCGAGGCAGCCCCGGAGAGGCAATAAATACGTTGGCGTGCACGTCCACATGCCAGGCTTCGCACCTCTTTGCACTTTGACACCCAGACACGGGATCCAGCCCCTGGAGTATGCCCTGCCACATAACCAGAGCTCTAACTCCCACCTGAGTCCCGTCCAGCGCCATTCCCAGGCTCACCCCCCTGTAAATCTTATTTCTCCTCTCCGATCCCTGCTCGGGCTGGCTCGTGGCCGAGTGTCCGTGGCTAAAGGTGGGTCCCGTGGTGGTGATTTACAGCCCCCCGCCGCCGTGGCTGGGGCTGGGGCAGCTTAATGAAGTGCGAAGGAATGGGCAGCATGAGGCACCAAGGCTGGAAAAAATACCAGCCTCCCTCGGAATAATTTCCTCCTGACCAGGCATGTCCCACAGCCCCTAAATCTGTCTCCCAAGGGATTTAATAAATCCCCTGCGCTCCCCCCCCTTGGATCGGAGGGCGTGTGAGGAAGGTGAGGCCACCTCAGGATGAAGAGCTGGTGCAGGGAAGGTGCAGCTGGCCGTAACCCCTGAAATCCTTCTCGTTTTACTTTAGATTTGGGCAAAACCAGCCCATTTCCTGCAGCTCGTGACACGTGCCATACGAAGTTCAGCTCCTGAGCTGGTGGTTTGCCTGGTGTTTGCTACAGCTGGCTGTAAACCCTGCCTGTGTCCTGTAGGATCCCCTACACACCGTACCCTATACTATGGTGTCCTATAGGATCCCCTACACACCGTGCCTGTGTCCTATACTATGATATTCTCTAGGATCCCCTATAACCAGCCCTGGGTGCCCAGCACCTGCCCCCTGCCCAGCTCTGCATCCACGGCACCCAGAGCAGCGGTGTCGCTGCTTATCCTTATTCCTGTCGCATCCTTATTCCTCCTGCAACCACATCAACCCAAATTTGTGTCATCCTCGGCATCCGTGCCGGAGGTGTGCGGGGCCAGGAGGCGGCCGGTGGTGCTGGTGAGCTGTGCACCACGGGAGCTTTTTGGCTGCTGCGCATCCCGATAAAACTCGGCGGACTGAAGGAGAGGGGCAAATGTTGAGAAACAGATGATAAAGGAGCAAAAGACCCCAAAACTGTTTCCAGAAGCACCACCTGGGTGCAGATCCAGCACGGCCCAGCTGGCAGCCGACGCGGGGCAGCTGCCACGGGACGTCCCGAGCTGCTCCGTGGCTTTCCTCACCCTGCACAAACAGTTTATGCAAGCAGCCCCGGGCTTGGCCTCTCCCTGGGGTGGAGCTCCCCAAGGGGACATCGTGCCCTCGCCAGGCTCTTGCAGACATCTCCCAAAAGATTGGCACAACCCAGCTCCTGCCCCGCAGTTTGGCCCGCTGCTGGGACAAGGCTTCGGCGGGGTGCGAACCTGCTGCCGAGCACACAGAGCTCCTCCGGCTCCGGCTCCTGGCTCTCATCGGTTGCTACAGCCTGGAGAAACTGTGTGTGTGAGCAGGCAGCATGGGAGAAGTTGGCCAAAAGTTTGCCAAAGAGCCAAAAATCTGTATTTATGTCAGGGGTAGGCACCGCGACCTGATGCTCCCCATCCCAACCCCGCTGAGCGCAGCTCACGCTTTGCCTGCTGCCACCCTCCTTGGCAAACTCACCCACAGACAAGCCAGAAACCCCCAAACTGGTTAATTATTCTTTTTCACCTTGTAATTATCCTCTGAATCGGAGGCACCTGTGGAAAGCCACGGTTTGGGGGGGCTCAGGCTGTACAGAGGGACACGATGGGGTGACCGTCCTCGCCACCCCGTGTGCTCGGTGACACCGGCTGCTCCCCGGGCGCTTTGGGGAGGGCTGGAGCCCCACCAGCAGCCGCTATAAACCCGCTTCCCGGCGCCTCGGCACGGCTTGATTTACAGCAGCCCAGCCTCCAGCAAGCGCAGCAGCTGCTGCAAGCCAGGAGAGGAAAAACAGAGGAGCTGGGAGGGGGTGGGAAAGCAACCAGGGGCTTTTCAGAAAAGATCTGGTTGGACCTGGGGAGGGGGAAGCCCTGCTTGCCTTGCTCTTCTCCCCCCTCCTTCCTTTATCCCGCTCCTAAAAAAAAAATCTCCGCTCTGCCTGTGATGAAAAACAAGGCTTCCTTGAGATATATATGTATTTTTTTGTTGTTTATATTGTTTTTCTTTTTTTCGGGAAAGGACGCGTGTGCAAAAGCGGGGGCAGCCTCCGAGCTGAGCCCTGCGCCCCCCCCTCCCCTCCTCCTCCTCCGTCCCCGCAGAAAAACAAGCGGGGAGGAAGAAAGGGAGCAGGGGAGGAAAACATGCCGTTCCCTGCGACGCCGCCTTGGCAGCGCGCACATTGGCCGGGGCCTTGGGGAAAAAAAGGGAGCCCGCTTTGGTGTTACCGGGCAGATTTGGAGATTTTTGGGGGGGGGGGATGGAGACACCCGTGCGCCTGCGTCGCGCGTGGAGCGCGCACAGGGCGCGTTTTGTGGAGCTGGATTCCAGCTCGCCTCCGCCAGCGCGCTGGGACACGGCCTCAGCCGCTTTGTTTCTATCCCTGGTGCCATTTGGGGAGGCGGTGGGGGGACGGGGATGGCGGCGGGGGGGTCCCGCTCTCCCTCCAGGGTTGTTCTTCGTGGCGAGGTGCCCAGCTGAATGTCCCCTTTGTCCCGGGAGAGCCGCTGTGGGCACCCAGCCAGGGCAGGGGCTGCCCCCGGGGGGGCTCTGGGGGAGGGAGGGGAAATAGGAGGGGAAAAGGGGGAAAAAAAATAAATAAAAGAGCAGGGGTTGGAAGGGGAAAATGTCACGGTGCAGAAAGGGGATTGAAAGGGAGGGGAGAAGCACGGCCAACCCCTTTGTCTGCTAGGCTTTGGTATCAAAATGGGCATTTTTATAGGGGAAGAGGAAAAAAAAACCCTGCTGCTGCCCCAGAATTTCATCCCCCCTCCTCCGTGCCATGTCCACAGGCAGCTGATGGACGGGACACGCGGTGCTGTGCGTGGCACAACCCACCCCAAACCCACCCGCCAACTGCTCACCTGCCTGTGGGGCGAGCTGAAGCCACCAGCCTTGGTTCATCCCGGTGCCATCTCCTCCTTCAGCAGTGCACGCTGAGACTCTCCGAGGATTTTACACCCCAAAATTATACCCCAAATCCGGGGAGAGAAACTGAAGTGGCAGCAGGAAAGGATTGATTTTATTCTTCTACGTGTAAAACCCCATTGATTTCTCTAGGCCAGAGAGCAAGCAAAAAGGAAAACCCTCTCCCCACTCCCGGTGCCCGATGTCTGCTCCATCCTGCTGCACGAGGGCTGGCTCTGGGCCTGGAGCATGAAAACGAGGGGGGCTTTCACCCCTAAAAGTTACTTGAGCAGCCCGAGTTTTCAAAAAATATATTTTGGAGCAGCCCCGATGCCGTGCTGATGGGTAACACGGGATGGTGAGATCCTAATGTTGGCCCTGGAGTGCCAAGCTGCGGGGCTGGCACCCGTTCAGCTGCTGTTATTTCTTAATTCTGCCCGCTCGTTAGCATGCAGGCCAGAAAATCCATCACTGTCCCGAGCAGCGGGAACAAACAGGCCCAGGGGGCTGGCTACTTTGGAAACCAGCGGGGTGACGCGGGACCCCGTCCTGCTTCCAGCTTCCTGGGGGTTTTCGGGTGATGTCTGTGTGTGTTTTGTTGGGGATTTTGTTGTTAATTTTCCCAGGGGAGCAGACATCACTCCAAGCAGCACCTGCAGCTCACGTCCACCACATCACGGGCACGTGCACGGAGGGATCATCCACCCGGGGGTATCCCCATCCCTGGAGGTGCCCAAGGCCAAATTGAATGGGACTTTGGGGGCTGGAACTAGGTGGTCTTAAGGTGCCTCGGACCCAAACCAGCCGCATCATGTGACCCCACCAGCCCCGTACTTTGCTCATCGCAATGCCACCAAATCCTCCCCGGCCACCAAGCACAGCGAGGCACTGTCCTGGAAAGGGAGGCAGGGAAGGTGAGGGCAGCCTGGAAGACGTGTCCCCGTGTACCTCTGAGAGCCAAGCAAAGCCCAAGACAAAGGGATTTTGAGAGCCGTGCTCATTAGAGAAGAGGGCGAGGTGCTTTTCCCTTGAGAGCGATGTGAGCGTCCATTCAGGGTTCCTCATTAGGACTCAAATGACCTGTGGACCTGTCCCAATTGTCGGCTGGGCTCTCTGTGCTCCTATCAGCAAATGTCCACTGGGCAGGTCACCCAAGGGAAAAAGAAAAGAGAAAAAAGCACGCAATTAAAAAGCAGGCCCTGCCTTGTCTCCAGCCCCAGCTCAGGGATGCTCCGCTGGGGTGACCCAAGGCATGACCCAGGCCCCTGCCCTCCTCCTCTTCACAGTCCGGCTGGGGCCAATACCAAGGGATTTTAATTAAAACCTCTTTCCAGCCACAGTGGTGGGCATTTTGTCTGTTAATTGCGGAACGGGGGACTGTCCAGTTGGCTGGTGCACCCTTCCCAAGCCCGGAGCTGGGAACACCAGCACCAAGCACAAGGACGGGCTTTCAGAGCACGGACACGTACAGAGCGAGAGGTGAACGCTCGTCACCGTCATTAGGAGGAAAAAAAGAACATTTTCTGCTGCTTGGTAGGGGTGGAAACCAGGCTGAGAGCCTGCTGCTGCCAAGCTGGAGAGCCAAGGTGGGGAAGGACAGCCAGCAACCAGGTCAGGGGTTGGCCGTGCGCTCGCTCCAGCCCCACGTTTCCTGGGGGCAGGAGGATCTGCGGGGGGATGAAGACCATCTGAAGGACAGTTACCCAGAGGATGATCTTCTGGGGGAAGGTCTGTACCTGCTGCTCCAGCAGAGGTCTTGGTGGGGCTTCCCTGAAGGTTTTGGTGTCAATGGAGAAACCTTGTAACGAGAGTCCCCTAAAAGTGCATCCACCTTTCGCATGATGGCACTCAGGCGGTGTCTTATGGTCACGGCAAGATCTGTGGATAGTCCAAGGCTCTTCTCTGCCACCTTCAGACAATGTCAAGTCCTCTCTTATTGTACGTTCTTGCTCCTCAAGCTCAAAGACTTGTTTTACACCACTGAGCTCTGCATCAGTCATTGCTCCCACCTTCCAGGTCACCCCATTCCCTCTAAAAACCCACCAGGCTCTCACAGCGTTCCCTGAAGGAGCACGCTTCGGCTTCCCCAGCCAGGATGGGCACCCTCTGCCTCTGGAGAGCTCCTCTGGTGGCGGAGATGGAAGGAATCCTTCCAGCTGTGCATTCCTCTCTCTGAAAACAACCCGGGGCACGCACGTGGGACACTTGTGTGCCTCGCTAACACGCTAACCCAGCACCCAGCTCCTGCAGCCCGCAGCAGCGTGCCAAACCCCCGCACCACCCCGGCCAGGAGAGCACCTGGGCTGGACTCCACCCGGCTGCCAAACCCCCTTTCCTCAAGCCACCCCCTCGTTACGCTGGTTATAATTACCTGTGAGCCTAATTGCACCCTTTCCTCATGGAGGAGCGAGCTCGGAGATGCTGCTCCCACAGAGCAGCGGAGGTTTGGCGGCATGCTAGGAAGCTCCTGGTAATTAGCGAGGTATTTTTATAACCTGTAGTGAGCCTTCCCAGCAAGAGAGGGGATCTAGGCATGCAAAAGCTGCTTTGTGTATCCGAAGCGTGCCGCTCGTGCCCCTCGCTATGAAGCACTGCTAGCGCCAGTCACTTGGTGGATGCAAGGAAACCCCAGCTCCTGCGAGGGCAGCGGTGTGACCGTGGCACAGCTTCACATCTGTGCTCCTGGGTTTGTTTGCTTGGCTTGGACTACAGGGAGCAGCACAGAAAAACAACGTGTTCTTCGGTTACATCACCGAAGTGTCACCTTGAAGGGTTAGAAGACCCCTCCTCTCCATTTCTAAGCACGGCACACGCTGCAGGAAGCCCTCTCCCTTTATTTTGCCCTGAAATCATCACCAGCCTTCCCCTGGAAAACAATACCAGCATACTTGTCATTGAAGGATGGTGCCCCGGGGGCAGAAACATGCTGGTAGGGAAACCGTTTTCACTTTCAAACTGGGCTTTGCTGTTTGGAAACTCTCTATTTCATGTTCCCCTTCCCAGCCAATTCACATTTTTGCTTCAATCTCTGCAGCCTCGGCCGGGCGCTGCTATGCGGGCTTGTTGTTGGTGTGTCATGGAGAGCAACACATACCTAAGGGAAGGAGTCAACGCCTGCTGGAGACGGGCCTGGCCGAGCTCCCTTTCCCCCCTCCCCGCTCCAAACGTCCCCCAGCTTTGGAAAAGTTTGCCTCCAACTCTGAACTCGCTTGGCCCCACTGCTATAAATAGATGGAACAAAACCTCCCGGGCCAAATGCCCTGAGTGTTTAGAAAGCTTTGATCCCGCGCTGCTTTTGAGTGCTTGATCCCTTCCTGCGAACGCAGCTTGTGACCACATTGCGCCTCAGAGCGGGGTGAAGGGGGGGGGCTGAGCTGCCAGACCCCCGGCACGCTCCTGCATCCCTCGCTGCATCCCTGGGGTTTGGCATCCCGTGGTCACTGCCCTCCCTACCTCTGCATTTCCAACAGGTTTTTACAGGCAGGGCACGCAGCCCCCAGGTCATGGCAAGCAAAAGAGCTTTCAGGGCAGAAAACCTCTTCCTTTGAGGAGCAGAAGCCAGCGGTGCCGCTGCGCGAGGCGCTGCGAGGAGCACGGCAGGGCGCTGGGGATAACACACCCTCAGCATCCCATGGGGAGGACAGCCAGGACACAGAGCAGCACCAAAACACCTCGCTCTTGGCCAGTGCTTTTCCCCTACCGGGTGACTTCAAGGTAGCTACGGGAGCCTTGGGTGCAAATCCTTCTTGAAAGGAAACTCCCAGAAGCGTGTGGAGGTGCAGCAGTGAGCGCTTGCTCCCTGCCTCCTCACCTTGCCCCGCACAAGGCTGCGGTGGTGCAATCGTGGCGCTGTGGAAACGCAGGGGAGCTGGCACAGGCTCGGGCTGGCGGGGGCCCAGCCCCACAGCTGTGTCCCCGGGGAGCTGGATTAGCTAACAGCGCGTTGGGAAAGGGCTGAGGTCAGCCCCATCGCCCTCTGTCACTGACAGGCATCTCGCATGGGGACGAGGGAGCCTGGAAACCACTCCTTCGGGGCAATTGCAAACACAGCAGCAGGGCTTTGCGAGAGCAGTGACACCCCGTGCAGGGAGCTCAGTGCAGAGAGTGGTGGCGTTCATTCCCTCCTCGCACATCCGATGGGGCTCAGTCCCCCACAAAGGGGCACGGTGAAACCCCTTGCAGGGGGCACCCAACCTGGTTGGCACTGGCACGGTGCCTGGGCTCACCGTATCTCAGCTCTCTGAGGATGCTGGCCTGGTTGTCTGATCCCTGCCCACGCTTTCTGGGGTGCTTCACCCCCTTTTTTCCTGCTGGTTCCTCACCCTTGGACAACCCTCATCCATCCATCCACGGCGCCAGCATCCAGAAACCCCCCGGAGGAGCTGAGCGCGGCCCCATCACCGCCATGCACTCCGGGGGGCTGGCAGGGCACTACCTCGGAGGCGAGCGCTGGCTCGGGGCTTTGTTTTGTGTCCTGTTTACCCCGCCGAGAGGAACAGAGGAGTTCAGTGTGCAGGAATCTCGCGCCCTCGCCCCGCTCCCCCGCCACACGAAAGCTGCTGAGCAAACAGGAGGACGCGGAGCCGCTCGCGCCCCGCTGGCACCCGCTGGCTTTCGGTACAACCGGCCCCACTGCCAGCTCTTGCATAAGCAGCCGGCTCAGCTCGGCACTGTTCTCAGGGCTCTTTTCTTGCAAACCAAGCAGCATCCCGCTCCACCAGCCAAGAAGGACCCCTCTCCTGCCTCCCTCTGAGCCCCTTGAGGTTGTTTTCCCCCTGATACGCAGCCTTTCCCCAGGCTCAGTTCAGCTGGCTGTGCCCATTAGTGATGCTCGGATCCCACAACACCACCAGCCACCACCATGCCATCCCACAGCCCACCCCGCCATCCATCAAAGCCCAGCACTGAGGCTGCTGCCTTCTCCTGATGGAAAAAAAAGAGATGTTTCAGCCTAAAAAATACCTCCATAACATCAGACCTCACCTCTTCTCTCCGCCTTGCACCCAGAGCGCTGCAGGAGCAGTCACAAGAGGTGCCACCAAGGCGAACTGTCCCCACAGGGGACCGGCTTCAGTGTCCAAGAGGAGGCACAGCCAAGGGGCTTGGGATCAGGGAAGGATGTTGGACACAGGGTCTGGGCCCCATGGGTGCCAGGGTCACCACCAGAGCATCTCTGCAGGGGCATCTCGATGCAGTCCCCTCCCCGCCATCCTCCACCCTACAGAAGGGGTCTTGCGCCCTACACTTTTTACCCTATTTAATAATTTCTGATTAAAAGCAATAAATACGGTAACCAAAATAGGTTCCATGGGTTTCACGCCATTGGAGCCTCTCTGCTAACAGCCCCTTACTGGCACGCTTCCTCGGGGGAGATCTCATCGCCTCACACCATGGGTACCAGAGCAAATTAACTCGTACTTGGAGCTGTGGCAGGATCAGGCAAATCCTGGCTTGGCTAGCTCTCTTCAAACTACATCTTGCAAACAGAAGGGCTGGAAACAATTTTGCTTTAATTGCTTCTCAAAATGCAGCCAGCAGATGGTTTGGTAACCCGAATTCATGACTCTTTCCACAGCTCCAGGCTGCTGGCTTTGAAACCATACCCAAGCACGACCCAGGTAGCGAGGGACCCATCCTGCCCACTCTGCCAAAGCGTGGCCACGATGCCAGGGCAGGACTGCACTGACAGCAGTACAAACATTAAGCAAATGGCACTGGGGCCGCGCAGGAGAGGCAGGGACATTAAATCACCCTGGTCTCCAATTCCAAACATTATTTTTGGTTGAAGAAAAGGGGCTGGCTGCTCCTGGAGAGCACTCACATAGGAAACCCAGGAATATGGGGCAATTTGCAAGCACACCACAGCCTGTGGTCAGGGTCACCGTGCTCAGAAACGCCCTGGTAAGCCCGGGGAGCCTGTGGGTGCGTAACACGGGCTGCAGCCTCCTGGAGAGCTTGGCACGGCAATGGGGACACGCCATGGCCACACATCCCTTTGTCACCTGGTCCATGGGGCTGATCTTGTGCACCCAAGCCCGAGAGCATCCCAGATACTCCTGAAAGGAGAAGAGCCTGGCTGGCTCTGCCGTTGTGAGCAGTTTGTTCTCCATGCATCGTCCTCACCTTACCGTGAACATCTCCGTGCTCAGCGTCCCGGGCCCTGACGCACAGCTCTGCCCCAAAAACATCACAGCCTGGATGAATTAAGGCTGCCCCGAGAAGCTCGCACACGTCTCGTGAAGCAGGCTTGTTTTTCTGCTACAAAGTAATTTGAAATTCTTGGAAGGCAATCAGGAAAGTACAAAGTATTCCAGCTCAGGACAGCCTGGGACTCATTCCTTAGAGGCACAATGGTTGTTTACTCAATCCTTCATACATTAATATCTAAAAATTCATGAGTTCAGTTGTAAACAAAAAGTACTGGCTTTGCTGGGTTGTCTACTTTAACAACAGTGGTTCCAGCCTGAATGCTGATTTTCTTGTTATCTTTATTCTAATCTTGCTATCAGAGGGTCAAGATCTTGCAAAAAATTATGGGAAATATTTCAAGCCCATTTATTTCTGGTTTTGAAACGCATCACTCTGAAACCCAAGGCCAAAGAAAGACTATTTCAAATCAACATCGAGGAGCGCGGGCAGGGAGAAGGGCTGTTTGTGCCAGCACTGGCCTCTGGCTCCAGAACAAATGAGCAAAAAGCCGGCCGCGGATGCGTTTGGGCTGGAAGTCGGTGGAAGATTGCGAACAATTGAGAGGGAAGGTCCCCGAGGCAGGCTCCTAAGGGGACTGACGGGCACTAAATAACCTAACCCCAACCTGTTTGCAAGGCACAGAACAATTGCCTTCTGGAAGCACTCACACCAGCTGCCTGCCAGCGGCGAGCAGAGGTCTTGTCCACATTCATCAGCCCGAGGGCTGTGCAATCCCCGCGAGCCCAGCAGCCAAGGACTTTTCCCAACACTTCATCTGAGGAAAGCCTCCCAGGCTGCATCCCGATGGCAAGCCAGTGAGCCCAGCTCCTGCAGGACGGACACGGTGCAGAGCTTGCTGGAGCTCACCTCCGCGTCCATCTGGCGGGCTGGCACAGCCACAGGTCCTTATCTCGGCTCGGAGCAGCCTCCCGGCCGCCAGCTGGACACACCTGAGGACCTCTCCCCTTCCCGTGTCCAGCAGGGAGCTGGAGGGAGCGAGCTGAGCTCCTCTGCTGGGGATTGAGCATCTGGCTATGCCGCAGCATGCTGACCTCCAGGGGCCTTTATCTTCGCTGCTGTCAGAGGGCAGCCGCTGATTGCAGCCTGCTGGAAAGCCCCAAGCAGCCTATCTCCTGAGGACAGCAAGCCTGGACAATCACCTTCACTCTCTTGATAAGGCTTCAGTGAAGAAGTGAGCTCCCAGGCAGGTTCCTGGAGTGCTCGGACAAGCCCAGGTTTCACCCAGCACAGACACTGGAGAGGAAACGCTCCCCAGTTCTGCCACTCTCCCTCCCTGCCCCGTGAAAGCCAGCAGGACATGCCTCAAAGAGCACTCACGGGACTCTGATCTCCGCCTCAGTGGCCAAAGAGACCTCCACCGAGGAGAAGTCCCTGCTGCATCGAAGCTGGTTGTGATACAGCAAAGCCTGAGGTAGCACCTGGCTCCCTGTGGGGAGCAGGTACTTCCAGCCTTCCCCTTTGGGATGCTCAGCTCCGTCTGCACACAAACATGTCCCTTTAGTAGAGCCCGAAGCCTGTCCCCAAACACAGGCTCCCACCAAGGAGGACACAGGGGCCCACGCTGATGCCTCTCTGACAAATATCTCGTTCTGACGTACAAAAAAAACCAGCAGATGGCTTCAGGGGACGGCGATGGGCTGGGGCACCATCCTGCCCCCCTGCAGCGACCGCAGCGAGGCACGAAGCCCAGCTGCTTTTACAGCTTGGCCGTCCCAGCTCCCCGGCGCTCGCCCATCCTGCTGGCCGCCCAGGGCCGCCCCGTCAGGCAGCTCCCTGTTTGTCTTGGACGACCTCCTGCAGGACCAGCGCTTTCCAAGTCCTCCTGCACGGCCGAGAGCGGATTTCCTGCCGTTTGATCTAAATTTGCCAGCCGCTGAGGCGAGCGCCTCCTCCTTCCCCTCACCAGCCCCAAGCTTTCCATCACCCCAAGCCGGGGGCTGTCGGGGAGCAGGGGGAGAGGGCTGCCGGGCAGGGAGCTGGTCCATGCCTGCCCCAGCCATGGAGAGGACATCCCCCCGTGGCCAGGAGGGCTGTGCACGGACACGCAGTGCCCTCTGCTGAAGGGGACACGGGACGGAGCAGCACAAAGCTTTGCAGGCCTCTGAGCATGGCCGCCGGGCCTACAGCCGCCCCGCCAGGCCTTCGAGGTCACCTGGAGGGACCGAGGCATCTCCACGACCCGCCGTGGTCCCTCAGCACCCTCATGGTGCATGCTGCTGGGTTTAAGCAGCACTTTGCGTCCCATGCAGTGAGCACAAGAGAAACGTGCTGCATTTTCCTCACACTGCATGGGGACGGCAGGCTGCAGGGCCACCCCATCCTCACACATAGATGGGGCACAAAATGGAGACCTTCCCCTTCCCAGGCCACCAGTGAATGACTCCCTGGGAGCACAGAGATGGACATTAAGTTGTCAAAGGCCCATGAAGGGCCCTCGTGATGTTCTCCTTTGCCAAAGTACGGCCCTGCAAGCAGGGGGTCAGCATGAGCCCAAGCTGCAGCTGCTCCCGGAGCGGTGCCCACCCAGGGTGGCATTAGAAGAACCGCTTTGTTTTTCCTTTCCTTCATCCTCTCAAACCCTCCCCAGTTCGTTTGGCTGTGAAGAACCTTGAGGAAGGTTTCTAGAACACAATACAGGTGGCAAAGTCCACTCCCTGTTAATTAAGATTCCCTGGAAGAGATAAGGCTTACCGGCACCCAGAGAACGACAGAGGTTTATAACGCTGGCAGCAATCTGGGCCCCAGCAGGTTTACGTGGCACAGGCAATGTCCAGGAGATAGGCATCATCTGCTGCTGGGATGAAACAGGCTCCTTCCCCCACTGCAAAGCCTGCATATTCCTTATCGCTGCTGCAGGGAAGGGCACTGACAGCACGCAGTGCGTTCGTGGGTTCGTTGTTTTCCCCTCTCCACGTATTTTTTCCAGGACTTGTGGATGATCAGGACACAGAGCAAGCAGGTGAAGGATCCAGCTCAGTTCTGCACTCAATGCCAAGGCAGGGTTGTCTTCCTCACCGCTTCCAGCCATGGCTTTTCCTGCACCTTCCAGCCCCTGCAGCCTGCAGCCACTTCGTGCCCTCACATCGCACTCCTGCTGCTGGTGCTGCCAAGCCAAGTGTCTTGGTGAAGGGCTAAAAATGCATGAAAAGTGAAATGAACAGCACATGAAATCACACATGGCATCACCCCAGAGCCTTGCTCAGGACCTCCTCGCTCAGCCTGATTTCTCCCACTCGAGCACCTTTGTGGAGGTATCAGCCTGGGACACACAGCAGTGAGGGATATCCACAGCCTCCATGAGCAACGCATTCACCTCGGGGGCTGTGCCTCTTTCCCTCTGCCTTGTTTCCTGCATGCCCTGATATACAAACATCTCGTGGATTCCCCCCAAAATATTCCCCATTTGGACATGCCATTTTCCCAGGGGGTCCCTGCTGCAAAGCCTCCCCTGCTGGGACATTTCACCGCTGGGTAAAGCATGGTGCTTGGTGCCGGGGCTGTTCTGCTGGTGCTGACCCCGCTCTGGGACTGCCCCGGTAGAGGTACCAGTCCCCCAACACCAAGCTAGGGGCCTGAAGTCCCAGCCTAAAATTAAAAAAAAAAAGAAATCGGAGCCACACAAATTCTCCTGAGAGGGAGAAACAAGGCTCAAGATATGGCACGCAGACCTGATCCTACAGCCAGCACCTTCCAAAGTTCTCATGTCCCTTAGCTCGGGGCTGGGGACAGGGCAGCCACAAGGTGCCAGCCCCCTTTCCATGACCCACGCACCCTTCGCTAACCCCCACCTGTGTCCTCAGCCTGCTGAGAGAGCACGGCCACTATCGCTGAATTGCACTAATCAGGAGATACCTGGCCATGATGAGTGCCTCACTGCGTCGTCTTGTTATCTCACAGCCGCTGTAAAGCAGAGGTGCTGGATCAGCAGCTCTCCACTGGAAGAAATTAATTATTTTTCAGTGCCTTGTGCCACTTTTTGAAGCACTTGTGAGCATGGAGCCTACATTCAGTGCCCCTCTCCCTGGGAATATCACGGCCCCAAGCCGAGATGGCACGTGTTTTAGCCATGGGAACCCACAGAACAGCTCCTAGCAGTTAAAAAATTATTTCCCAACAGCAGCTGGCCTCTCCATCACATCACCAGGTGGTGATGGTGCCCTGGCTACTGCTGTTGCCTGCAGCGGGTGGTGGTGGCCCCCAGAAGCTGCCGCCTGCACGCAGGGAGCCCCATGCCACCGATGCAGCTGCAGGCATACTGTTATCCCGGGGGAATGAGCAAATCCCATGGCTGCTCCTTGGGATCCTGCCCTGGCCGCAGACAGCTCCCATTTCCCTGAGCTCAGCAGCCCTGTCTGATACAAGATGTGACGGAGCTGCTTGGAGAAAAGAGAAGAAACCGCTTCGGTTTTGGCTGGCCTCCCATCAGATAGGGAGCGCGGCCGCGCAAAGTCCCAGGGTACAGCTCGGGGGTGCCCTGTGGCCCCAGGGTGAGGACACGGGGTGGGGGGCACCAGCCCCACGGTGCCCCCAGTGCCCTTTCCCAGGCACAACGCTCCCTGCCTCAGTTTCCCCAGCTGTCCAAATCCAGCTGGGAGGACACCCGGGGCTGTTTTGGGGCTGTTTCAGATGGATGAGGGGACAGGAAAGGGGGAAGCAGGCAGAAAGGGGGTGCCCCTGCTGCCCCCTCGCTCACCCTGGTCCCCACATGGGACAGCCGGGGGGCTCTGGAGCATCCCTATGGGTCCCCAGCTCTGCTTGAGCCTTGGTGGCTTCTGCCAAGGGGGGGTCACATCGCTCCTGTCCCCAGCCGCCGGCGCAGCCCGCAGCTCTCGCAGGGCGACAATGCCACCTGCTGCCCGCTGCCGGCCAGGACAGCCCTGTAAATGCCTGCAGGTCGGGTACCCACTGCTGTTTCTCCTCCTGAGGGGGTTGCTTTTTGAACCTGGAGAGCTTTGTGCTGGTTTTGCACCGAGGAGGAAAAATAAAACATCTCCAGAGGCAAGCAAAGCGCCAGCACCCCGGCGGGTGGGGTACCTGCAGCCTGGTGTCACCCCTTGTGGTGTAAATGCCTGAAGTAACTAGGAAAATAAAACTAACATTCACACTTTTAAGGAAAAGGTACAGCATTGAAGAGGCTTTCAGGGTAGGGCATAACTGCATTATCTGAGCATTCCCTAGGCTCCCAACCTTAGATGCTATTGCGCTGGGGAAACTTGGTGTGCTAGCTCTAAGGAACACCATGGAGCGTAGAGTGGAGTGGAGACACCACGGCTAGGCTCTGTAATCAGGTGGGGCCTCGATTGTTCTTGTGCACAAAGCTGCACTTTTTGCCACCCTAAGCCAAAGACCTGTCATGTTTTGACAAATGCTGTACCCTAGTGTACTTTTTGCTCATTATAATATCATTATAATACCAAAACACACCTCCATCCCAAAAGCTACCCGCCTCCAAGGTGCGACCACCCCTCACTGAGCATGCGCTCTGAATTTCTCGGAGCCTATTACTTTAAACGGAGACGGGAAAACTTTACACCAATCATAACTAAGATATGCTTGACTAGAGCCACTCAAGCTCCACCTAAAAGATAGAAAATAATATAAATTGGCCCAAGAGAGAGGGGATGTTAGGGAAGATACCATCGTCAGGGGAGATACCATCCCGAGGACATACAACATCCTTAGGACCTCCTGACTCCTGGGATCAGTCGACGGGCTGAGCCTCTCTTCCCCCCCCACTGGGCCTTGGGGTGAGATCTGAATATTTGCTTATAAATCTCTATAGAGTCTTTGATCCTTTTAACGCGTTTATTTCTAGGCTGCGCACCTGTAACACCTGTAACACCTGTAACACCTGTAACACCTAGAACCCACACCTAGAACCCACACCTAGAACCCAACACCTAGAACCCAACACCTAGAACCCAACACCTAGAACCCGCACCTAGAACCCGCACCTAGAACCCGCACCTAGAACCCAACACCTAGAACCCGCACCTAGAACCCGCACCTAGAACCCAACACCTAGAACCCAACACCTAGAACCCAACACCTAGAACCCGCACCTAGAACCCAACACCTAGAACCCGCACCTAGAACCCAACACCTAGAACCCAACACCTAGAACCCAACACCTAGAACCCAACACCTAGAACCCAACACCTAGAACCCAACACCTAGAACCCGCACCTGGAACCCGCACCTAGAACCCAACACCTAGAACCCAACACCTAGAACCCGCACCTGGAACCCGCACCTGGAACCCGCACCTAGAACCCAACACCTAGAACCCGCACCTAGAACCCAACACCTAGAACCCAACACCTAGAACCCAACACCTAGAACCCGCACCTAGAACCCAACACCTAGAACCCAACACCTAGAACCCAACACCTAGAACCCGCACCTAGAACCCAACACAAAACAGACTTCAGCTTCATCACTGAGTTAGGTTCCCCCAGGGACAGACCAGGAAAACACCGTGAGGCCGTATATCCCCGCTGCCATCCCAAAACCATGAGCTGGGGACAGCAGGCCAGACCACGGCTGGGATTGGGACTGATCTCAAGGAGGAGGAAGAGGCAAGGAAACAACAAAGCAGTGCTGCTGCACCAGCAGAACAGCCACAACAGTTTTGCTGCAGGATTGTAAACTGCGAATACAGCCCTGGGATCTTGTGATGTCTTCTTAAATCGCTGCTTCCCCACCCAGGGTGCAGGCATTGGGATTTTTATTGTATGGCACCTCACAAGGCTTTTCTCTGGCTGCATCTTCAGCACAGAGCTCTGCACAAAACACCCAGTGTGGCAGGACGGGGCACGGCAATGCCAGCTTACCATGGGTCCATGCTGACCCTGATGCCATGATGAGCTGAGGCCGGCTCCCATTTCACAGATCTCTTCCAGTGACTTTCTCTTGCCCTCTGATTTTTGAACCATCCCCAGCTCCTGCTCAGCAACAGCTCCTAGCCCGGATCCTTAGAGATATCCGTGCCTGCTGCACAGGTGGAGCACGGCAAGGCACCAGCTCCTGGCCCAGGAGGAGCTTGGAGGAGAAGGGGAGCCAGCATGTGCCACCTGGAGAGGGGGAGGATAGCAAAACCTTCACCATCATCAAGGCCAGCAGTATGGCCAGGAAACCAAGGACCAAGGACACCACAGTGAGCCCAGGCAGCAGCTCCAGGAATGTGTTTGGTGATGGGCACGTCCCAGCTTTCAATTCTGTGCGGAAAAGGGTGAAGAAAATCACACTGAAGCCCAAAATCTGTGCTGCTCCCAAGCCCTTTCACTAAGAGCACGCTGGATAAAGTAATTACAAGCAAGGCATTTGCACCCTTCGCTCTCCTCCCAGGACAGCCCCTTCCCAAAGCAGAAATGCTCCGAGTGTTTGTGCAGCAGCGAGCTGCTCTCAGACCACGGACAGGGACCAGCCGCTCGGTAAAAATGGCTTTTCTCGAGTACCTGAGAGCTGAGGCAATTAAAAGAAAATTAAACTGACATTTCTAACTCGCAGAATAAGAGAGATGTGCAGTGGTGAAATAATTAAAAGTTACTGCTGGGAACATCCTGTTCTCACCAGCCTGTTGTAAAGAACAAAAGGGCAAGACGCATTTTTGACTTTTTTTAATTCCTTCTCTTTCGATCATTAATTGCCAGCTACTGCTGCCCCCCCAGCTGCTGGAACCCAGGGGTTTTCCAGATGATGGCAGTGATATTTAGTGGTCAACAACCCGTTTACCTGTTGGTGACAAAAACAAACAAAAATAAAGCATTTTGCCAGCCAGATTCCTCTGCCCAGCTATTCACTGGAAGGGCTCAGAGCCTGGCGCATGCAAGAAAAAGCCCCTTCCACCTGCTTCATCAGCTAGAAGAAAAAAGTGGTGTTTATTAAGATTTTAGTCTCCTGCACGGAAGACTGACTGCTTAACCTTCCAAAAAGGAGCACAGCGCTCGCTGGGGTTTTAGGATGAGCAGCCCCTTGCCCCACAAGGATAAAACCCAGAACCCACAGTGGGTGTAAGCTGCTCCAGCATCGGCAGCGCTGTGCTTCAGCTCGTCCAACCTCCAGTGTGAGGCTCCTCTACGAAGGTCCTCTAGGAAGGGTTTGGGATTTAGTCTGGAAGAGCAAGGAAGGT